AAAAAAAAATTGAAAGAGAGAGAGAGAACTTTCTGTTTTAATGTGCARATTTTACATATTAAAAAATAGAAGACAGTCCTGAAGCTTCACAAAGACACCTCACAGCTCTGCAGTGAGCTCTGCTCTGGTGCTTAACTGAGATGACTAAAAGCTATGCATGAGTGCCAAACTCTTTGGGTACAATTAAGTCTCCCTCTTTGGGAATGTATGCATCCAATCATTAGGGAGAGGTGGGGGCAGAAAACAGTCAGACCATGTCTGGTGAAACCACACAATGGTGAAGTTGAAATATGTGGCTTTGAGCTGCTAAACTGTTTTTTCAGTTTGGTAACAARTTTTACTCTAGGTAGAATTCCCTGGTCCACATCCCTGTGCTGACACTAGCTATTTTTCCTGGTTCAGACAGTGAGAAGGGGAATGATGGGGATAACCAAAGTCAAACCCGACACCTTCTGTTTTATGTGATCATCATATACGTYGTGCAAAGTTCCTGCAGTCTCTGTGTAAAGTTGAGATAGCTGGCACAGCAAAGCAGGCAGCAGCTCTAGACGCAGAAAACTGGCACACTGGAACTTATGCCAGTTTGATCCCTTCTGCCATCCTGTATCAGAGGACATATTGAGGAATCCTTATTTTCAACTTTTATTTTAAAAACTCTTCTTGTTTTGACAGAGTTTATAATCTCCYATTTTTGGTAACAGAATGACTTCAGAAACATTTAACATCTATATTTTCTCTCAGTTTGCTTGTTCTTGGCAATGTTTGTCTCAGAAAAGCCATGACCTTTCAAATCACAGTGGTCTATACTGATCTCACTGGTCATTGCAGCACTAATCATTAGCAAATGCCATGCTACACTAACTAATTAAAGTTTTTTGCGTTTGGCATTTAAATTCTGTGCTGATTCAAGCAATGTATTTACCTGTGCCGGGTTCATATGCAGCTGTGTGACTTCACAACTGCCTTTAGCCAATTTGAGAAGGTACTCTTCCAAAAAGAATTCTTCTCCTGCTTGCCCAGGTGTACTCCCTTTGTACATTGACTCCCTTGTGGGGTTGTACCAGTGTGGTCATGCAGCAGCTCAGAGAAACTCACTCAACCCAACTGAAAAAAAAAAATCACACAGAAAGTATTTTCTTAGCTAAGCTGTTTCAGCTRCCTGTGGTGATGAAGCAGCACAGCCCCAACACAAAGGGAAGGTGAGAAGGTGTGGCCAGGCACAGACTAGAATTGCACCTTTCAGCAGCAGTGGAGATCAGCTACAAGAGGTGTGACACCATTCCTTCACCATGGGGTTAGGACAACACCTCTCCACCTATTCCCTTTGCTGTCATGAGGCCTCTTCTTTCTCTCCTTGTAAGAGGTTCAGCCATGCTGAGACTGTRCTTGTATCACAGCTGGAAAGAGAGGCATGCTGTGTTTGGACTCCTGAGCTGTCTTTGCTGGCAGCATGACCCACATGAGCATCTTATAGCTGTTATTTCAGTTCAGGTTTCTAGCCCAGACTCCACACTTATCCACTGGTTTTCAGCTTCAACCTATGTACAGGGACAAGCTGGCTGATGTGTTAGGAGGAAAAACCTAAGTAGGAAGCACAAACAGGAGAAATTAGTCTGACCTTAGGACACATGGGGTAGAGTTAAGTTACACATAGTGAACAAATAAGCCCAGAATGAGGAATGTCTCACAAAGACTCAGCATGAGACACAGTATACAAGCAGCATCAGGATAGGTGATGGCCTCATAGTGATTTTAAAGCATATAAAGTAAGTTTCATAGAATGTGTGGATGAGCCTAAAAATTAAGAAGGAAGAATGAAACTGTTACCATTCTCAAAGCATTTGTGAAAGTTGATCCCCTGTCGATCATGTTGCTGATGCGGATATTTACAAAGTAGCCAGGGCTACTTTGACTTGTGCAATGCAGTAACACTCCCTGAAGAGCTGCTATGGCATGTGAGAAGTGTTGGTCTAATATCCTCTTTGGCCTTGCTCCTAGCCATTTCTCTTATGGCAAAAGCTGAACTGAGTGATCAGGCACTGCCATTTCGCTGGATTTACAAGTCTTACAGTACTCTATAATTTGGAGAAGCTCCGTGGCCAGACATTTCACATTGTTAAAGAATTTCACGTCTAAAATATGTGAGCTTTTAATTTTTTTTTTCAGTTCAAAATTAATTTTTTATTTATTTATTTATTCTTTATTTAAGGCATTTTTTGCTTTTTACTTGATTCAAAAAAAATCCAAAAGAACCCCGCCCCCCCCCCCCAAAAAAAAAAAAAACACCCCAATAAGTATTTCTTGGCCATCCCAGTATATCCCAATAACACACAAGTTAACAATCATTATTGCCCATTCTGCTATTCAGCTTCTGGGGAGAGGATGCTTATGCCAATATCTGTGTGGCTGTGCCATAATTTGGGAAGAACTTGTCAAGGCTGGTGCTAGCTCAAGTGTCTGATCTTCTAATTCATCAGAAGACACAAAAATCTGAAGAATGTGCCTGCGATGTGACTCTTCAGCAGATCCCAAATGYACTCAAGAAATGAAGCACTGAAGGTATCCTTTTAGTATGAGCAAACCTGCCTTACGCACTGATCTTTTCAGCTTATGTTTTCTGTTAGTGAAGGAACTTGCTAAAGGCAAGAGTCAGCAGTGAGTGGAAATGATCTCACTGGCCAACAAAGCCTTGTTCTCTGTGCCCTTGCTCCCTTTMTTCCTYATCCTGATGTTCTTGTCTCCTCAAGCACCCATCCTTCCTTGTTCCAGTTATAACAGGCTTTGTTGTAAATTGACATGACCCAGTGCTGACTAAAACTGGCTCCCAAAAAGACCCCAATTAGCTGTGGATCTGGCRTGGTGCAAGCATCAGGAGTGAGTGGTCAGTGCTGGGGCCCAAAGGAAGGGTGGAAAGGGCAGGGAGCAGTGTGTGTCTCAGCTGTGGAGGGGTGTTAATTCAGCTGCCTAGAGCTGTGGAACCATCCCTCGAAGATGAACAGTCTATCTTGCAATCAAGAACAGTGAAAATACTAATCAATAAGGTTCTATAAACTCTGCTTAACAGTGTTGCTACAATTACTAATGAAGGCAAAAACTGGAAGGTAATGTTCTTCAAGCCTTCCTTTGCTGCAGRTATACCACTAGTAATAGAGTAATATGCAGTTGAAACTTAATTGGAACACTAAGGAAAGCTTGAGCTATTTATAGGATTTAATAATTTAATAGTACAAAGTTCACTGATTATAGTAGTATTCATTTTTCTATTTAATTTAATTATTACTTCTATTTCTTAATTAATAATGCAAGAGTGTATTTTTGTAAAGCGCTTTTTTTTTTGTGTAGTTCCCATTTTGCACCAGAATTTAATAAAGTTCTGCCTATTGTTWGTAAAAAACTACTATGCATTCCTGCATACATACATTCTGAAAAATTGCTTGAGTTTGTAATCTGTGAGATCCCTGCAAGAATCATAAAGAGGACCTTCTCACTAAATGTTTATCCCAGGATGTGTAAGAGTCCTCTAATTTTTTTCATTCTTATGTTTACAACATTCAGGTGAAAACAGGGAGTTTTATTTCTCCCACTACAGCKGGGATATCAAAGGACAGAGATGTTAAAGTCTGTATTCAGAAAGGTTGTTTAAGATTGTAGATCACACTAGCTAACTTGCTTAGAGTGCTAAGAAAAGCTTTTGTGTAACTGAAGTTACATCTGCCAAATACAAGAGGATCTTCCTTGCCGCTGGACTTTGCTATCACACTGAGATTGCAATAAAGAGTTCTTTTAAAGCTGGGTTTAGAGTGTTTTGTTGAGTGGGAAGAAAGACTTTCATGTAAGGAAAGTTTTGAATGTAGGTCACAGGAGGGCAGAAAGGATATCAAATAGCTGCTGATGCACATGATGGCTTTTATGGGCAAGGAAAATGAAATCTATAATGTTTTGGAGAAAAAAAGGTGTTATCCATGACATGAAAAATAAGCTTAAAKTAAGGAATACTGGGATATACTGAAGCCCTAAGGGATTGAAGTCAGTAGAGAATAGTMATTCTGCTGGAAAAATAAAGGAGGTACTCCACAAATTAACTTAGCATTCCTCTAGAACAAGTTGTTACTTAGAAAGCCARTGTGCTGACAACCTGTCTACTTATTCAGAATTTATAGTGTGGAAAAAATTATAAAATAATCCATTTTAAGGTTATGGATAAAATGTGRAGAAATAGGATGCTTTTATRWTTGTATTATGGGCTTGCTTTGGTGYATTGATGGCAAAATRCTTCTCAGTGTTTCAGATAATTTATGAGTATAATCATGGCCCTAAATTTTGTACCTCTATTTTATATTAAGTCAGTTTKATTGAGATATTTATAGTGGACCTGCATACAAGTTTTATGGCTAAGAAAGCAAATTTTAAATTGAAGTGCATAAACTCAGGAATGAACATTTTTCAAAGGAATTTGCCCTGACATGAAAGAAATTCCTGGTGGGACCTCTAATTTCCTATGCTTGATGTAGGAGACCAACATAAAGGAAGAAAAAGAGGTGAATTTCTAACAGGTGGCATAGACAGAATATGTTTTCTTCTGCCATGCCTTGTTCTGTGAGTATCATTGTATAATTGATAATAGAATAGGATTTTAGATGTGTGAGTGATCTCCCTCAGGCCTGTGCCTGGTGTGCAGATACTCACATGGATATACTGACATTTCTTCTAGGGAATGGTCCAAACCTGGCCTCAGGGTCTGCTCTCGGGATACTTAGGAATGCCGGCCATTGGCAGCCTACAGAAGTCACCCGGCTTTGCATGAACCAGCTCCATGCCCAAAAAGGTACAAAGAGGTGAAGAGCATCACACTCAAAGCCTGTAGGAAGCCACTTTCAGATTGGCAAAGAGGTGGCTGCTCTGTGCATCTTCAAGGTCCTGTAAATCTTTTGTTATTGTTTTTATCTAAGTGTAAAGGTTATTATAGATGGACAAAATAGCCATACTTTCCAGAATATAGTTTCACTCAATAAAGTGGTTATATTTTCATAATGTAATATTTGACTTTTTTTTTCTTTGAATTTTTATTATGAATGACATTTTATTAATAAAACTGGTTTTATACAATGCATAGTAGATAGAAAATGAGTCTTCAAGTGTTGTTATTTTAYCAGTTCTATGAGTAATGTATTTTTTGTTCACAATATTTTCTTCYATAGTCTACATAAATGTGCTATTTACATGTGCTACAATAATAAATTACTCTTTTCACAATGTTCAGAGTATTTGATTTAATAACTGGAATTATATTTAATTATTTAGTTTTAAATGACAGAATTAGAAATGTTATTGAGTAAACGTGAAACAACAAAAGTATTAAATACATGACAAAAGTATTAAATACATGAAAAGTGTCAGAAAGCAACAATATATTTTTAAAAAGGAAAAAACATGCTGGATTTACACAGTGAGTTTTTTATTCCTATATTGTTCAGGTTAATGCTGTACTAGTAATTTTACAAATAATGATCTTTTTCCACTGCATTTCATCTTTCTTCCTTCCCCTGAGCAGTATTCCTGATAAGACTCACAAAAGTAAACACTGACACACTTGAAAAAGAATCAGAGGCTAAATTTTTCTGGGATATATTTCCATAATCTGTTATTGYAACACCTTGCTGTCCCTCGAGAAGGGGAGGTCTAGTTCCTTCTGAGCTCCCAGGGCCTCATTTCAAGCACTGTTGGTTCTTGCAGAGTCCCTTCTCCTTCTCTCTCTGCTCTAATACTCATCAGCCCCCTCCTGGAGCCGACTGAGCTCACTGYTCACACAGAGAATGTTCTCTTTTCCTGTGCTCATGTGTGATGTTACTGAGCTGAGTAGGTCATAGAAAGGTCCCCGGTCTTACTGACACAGTGGGACAGAGAGAAAGGGAAATACAAGAGGTGTTTTCAGTGCTGAGGAGTGATTTCATCAGCTCATCCTGCTTAATGTAACTTCAAGTTCATTTTKTGAAAAAGAAAAGAGGTTTTTTTGCTAGGTGAATTATTGTGAAGACAGATTGAAAAACCCCTAAAGGGACTGTAGCCTCTGAGTGACTCCCAGTGGAATAATGACCATGATTAAACAATCATGAAGGTATTGTGTTGATATGGCATTTATTATGGCATTGCATTAGCCAATAAAAAGTTTCAGAAATTGTTTGATCAGCTTTATCCTGAAATTATTTAGCTGGAGACACTCTAATGAAGAATTGCTTTATCCTGAATTTAACTGGAGATACTCTAATGAAGAATTTTTCTACAAGTAATGTTCTTTTTTCATTCTTCTTTTTTCTTTTTTTCTTTTAATGAGGCTGTCCCAAAACTCCTAAAAGAAGTCTCTCTGAGATTCTGTCAATGTACACACCAACAGCATCAGCTCTTCACAATAGCCAAACAAAATCTTGAAGACTAAGCAAGTCTTCTCCCAGCAGTCTCACTATCCACTGAGGGTGCAGTTCAAAGCACCGAGAGCACCTGCCAGGTTKTATCCCTAGTCCCTGGATAATACTGAGCTAATTACATAGCTGCTATTCAGAGCAACAGGAAAATTGAAATTGCAAGAAAATAGAGCTGCTTTTCAGTGTCTTTAGCTTCCATTCCACATGGAATGATCTTGCTTGTTCATTCCATTCCATGTGCTAGAAACTGCAGCTCCTTCATCTCCTCCACAACTAGCCCTTCATCACCACTCAGGATGAAGGTGTTCATAACTTCAGGCAGCCATAAATGTCAGGAATATATCAGTGAAGGCATGAAAACAAACTAAAGCAGAGCCAAAGTTCTACTTTGTTCAGCCTAGAAAAGAGAAGGTTTMACAGTGASYGAATTGYRGCYTTCTGRTACCTGAAGGGAACTTAYAARAGAGATGSAGARRGACTWYTTACAAGGGCRTGTRRTGACAGGACAAGGGGGAAYGGACTCAAACTGAWAGAGAGYAGGTTTTKACTAGATASCATAAAARCTTCTTTCCTGTAAAGKYRATGRGGCACTGGAAYATGTTGCCCAGAAARGCTGAGGAGGTCMTGTCATTGGAAGWGTTTAAGGCCAGGYTGGATGGAGMTCTGAGCAATCTGRTCYGGTGAARGGTGTCCCTGCCTATGGCAGGGTGGTTGGAATGAGATGATTTTTAGATCCCTTCCAATATTCTATTCTATTCTACTCTATTCTATTTGATTCTACTCTATTTTATTCCCTCCTAGGGAGGTGGTAGATCWCCCATCCCTGTGAGTGTTTAGCAGRAATTTGAACAAAGCCCTTAATGATACACTTTAAGTTTTGATCAGCCCTGAAGTGGTCAAGAAGTTGGACTGGATGATCATTTTAGGTCTGTTCCAACTGAAGTAGAAAATAATGAAACAAAGCRACAGTTTAGAGCAGCTGATCATCTCAGCCTCATCTGTCTGTCTGGGCTCTTGCACAACGGGCTGTGTAAAGCTGACCTGCTCTGGTCAGCCCCTTGGCCCTTTCCAGCTAGTTTCACTGCCAGCTGCACAGAAGGCCCAAGAAGGGGCTAGGTTTATAAATAGTCTCATCCAGATCCAAAAATATTATTTTGCATTAATTAAATACTGTTGAAAAGCGAGTAGTTTTCTCTTTTAAATTAATGTAACAAGTAAGTTATTTGAAAGGATATTAAAGCTAACAAGAAGTGCATGTTTCAAAAGACTGTAGGCAATGTCACTTGTGGCTGTCAGATGCCTTAAATATCTGTGATTAGACTTGAAGGGGAAGAATGACAAGTGTGGCTTTTTAAAAGAAAAAAAGTCAGTGGTTTTCTTTTTAACACTGTGAAGATAGGATCCAGTACTTTGGCATTGAACAAGAGCGATTTTTCTGTGTGCCTGGTTGAAAGGATGAGTGAATGAAGAGAGAATGACAAGCTCAAAACCCAGATCCTTCTGTTAGCTTACTCAGGTGGAAAAAAGAACARTTATTATGAAGATGAGGTAAGTTACAAGTATACCAGATTGCAAACAACACAAAAGATTATTCTCCAATGACAGATGACAGATAGCAAAGGCAACTTACCAATGTTTTCTGGAAACATTATGTTTTAAYTTTATGAGGCAGATGCTTCCGGAGAATATTGAAAACACTTTCAGTTACTTCTTCAGTGGCTATAAAAGCAACATCTAATCACAGACAGATTGAGCTAACCATKTTAAAAAACACAAGCCCCAATACCTTGAGCTGTATTTAGTTTCAGATTGCACTATTTGCATAAGCCAAGTATGAAGACTTTTTCCTTAGAATAATTCTTAATCTTGTTAGTGCTTCCCTGCTTTATTCAAGCTAGGACATACTCTCCAAAGKAGCCTAGACTTAAACTAATTCTGACCACAACCCAGATGCTGGGAYAGGCTCTGGTTTGATGCATAATTAAAAACCTGTTCCGAGCCAGTAGGTGGGTACAGCTTTCTTGTAGTTTCCTTTTGTAACCTGTCTATACTGGTCAGGCCAAATGCAAAGCAGCATCAGAAGCCATAGTCATTTGTTGTAATTGCAGTCTTGARTGTGGAGATGGAAGTGGCAGAGCTGAAAGACGAGGAAGTGGTCAGGTGAGAATGAGACATGTAGTGACTCCCATTGTTGCAAATGCACCACAGGACTCTTAGTAACCACAGTMCACCTTTGGCCTCTCCAGCTTTCCCCCAGCAAGGTGGTCTATCCAGCCTTTCCTGAGCCACAGATCTGTATTTGTTACCACTGTAGGGCRAGCAGTGTGCCCTTGTGGTCCAGAAAGCCAAAGGAATCCCCGGGTGCATTAGGGAGAACATTTCYAGGAGGCTGGGGGAGGTGATGCTGCCCTTCTCAGCCCTGGTGAGYTGCATTTTAGTGCTGTGTCCAGTTCTGGGCTCCCCAGTACAAGAGAGGCATGGAGCTCCTGGAGCAGGTCCATGGAAAGGTGACAAAGAGGATTAAGAGACTGGAGCATCTCTTTCCAGGAAAGACTGAGGGAGCTGAGCCTGTTCAGCCTCAAGAAGAGACGACTGAGAGGAAACTTCATTAATGTCCATCAGTATCCAAAGCGAGGGGGCCAACAGGATGGAGCCAGKCTCTGCTCAGTGGTGCCCAGCAATAGGACAGGAGGCAAAGGCCAGAAACTGCTGCACAGGAAATTCCACCTGAACACACGAGTGACTGAACACTGGAACAGATTGCCCAGAGAGGCTGTGGCATCTCCCTCACAGGAGATATTCAAGACGTGTCTGGATGCAGTTCTGTGAAGTGTGCTCTAGGATGACCCTTCCAACCTTTCCCCATATGTGTTTCTGTATTTCTGTGAAAGGAAACCTAAACCTACCATGTTAAATACCTAGAACCAGGACAGCATCCCCCTGCAAGGATGTGCACTAACATTCCCACCTATTTCAGAGGAAAACAGAGATCTTCTGCAGGAAATTCCAGGCAGATGAGGAAAAGATGTTGAAGACAGATAATGTGCTGTTTTTCTTTAACTGTTTGGTAACACAGAMTATCAGAAAGTCATTGGAATTACTATGGTCACAGGCACTATGAGGCCACCAATGAAAACAATGCCTTTTCAATAAAATTTTTCAAAAAAATTGTCTCGCCTAAAAAAGTAGCTTAAGTGCTCATGAGAAAACACAAAATATTTGGTCTTCACAAGTATATCATTTTAGCATGAGCGCAGCCTGGAAAACTATTTGTCACAAATAGGTGACATATATATGAAAGATGATGGATAACATTACAGCAAATATTTGTTGCCTCTGCAGAAACAATCATATAGTTTTCTGTATTTTTCATACATGTTAACAGCATAAACATTGCAAGAATTTTATTCTAAAATTATTAGAATTGCTAAGTGTCTCAGTTTGCCTGCTGTCTTATAYATGAGAGTCTGCCACAGACACCTCTGCATAAATTTCACTAGGTTTTATCTCAATTTTTATGCTTCTATGCAAAAAAAATTCCCAATTTTCCAAGTTTGAGAAATAGTTGGATTCTTTTTAGGAGCTTAGCAGCCGCGATCACTATTTTCATCCTAGTAGAGCAAAATTGGCCAAAATTAGTTAGTAAGATGATGGTTTTATAAACCTCGGGTCTGTGCCAACCCTAGTACAGCACAACTGT